GCCACTACATTACCTACTAATTACAATGTCTCAAGATGTTTTTGCTTCAACTAGATTGCAAAAAATTATATATTTAATGTCATTACTCGTGCTATTGGCATTCCAAACCAGAAATTACACCTGCCCCCCTTCTAGAAAGTTTTCTCATCAGCATGAACACAGCTCCAAACTTCCTTGTTCACATAGTTAAGATACAAACTCGTGTAACTTATATTATATTCATACAAAAAATAAAAATAAAAAAAATTTGACATGTACCTTGTCCTGTTTACCATCATACATTTTGAAGAACAGTAAGGTATTTGAATATAGGAGGCATAACAAGCGAACCTGAATAACTGAGAATTGTGGCTGACCTGTGCCTTGTCTTGCAGTTTGACTTCAATCCATCTATCAGGATTTAGAGCTAAAAATAAAGAACAATAAATTGTCATAAAATTTCATCAAACAATTTACAGCTTTCATCTACGTGACTAACTTACCAGTGAAAGTTTCTAATTACATGAATTTATTATGCCAAATTATACAAGTGTGTGTGAGTGCAATGGCTCATAAGATATAGGTTGAGGACTAGAGAATAAACCCTCCAAACCTAGCATACTCTTAACTGATTTCACAAAATATTGAAAGCCAAAAAGTTCAAGTGAATTCTACATGGTCAAAAATTAAATCATAGTCACAACTTGATTTTCGATCTTCCCTATTTGTCTATGGATGTAAAGGTGAACAGATGAACTTCTAGCCATTCTTTGGCTCCATAAGCCTCTCCCTGAATTCCAAAGCTTGATGTTTCTGAACTACTTGCAGCAAGGTATGTAGAGGACCAACTAGTCCAGATTTAATGTTTCGCGTGCTGCTTATTCTTACATTTAAAAAGGTTACTTAAATCTAGCAATGAGAGTCAATATAATAAACCACAAAATGACTTCATTCAAGGTACAGCATGCAGGCATCAGATATATCTCAAGGTTCCAAGGATAGGAAATATTTACAATCATATTGGTCCATGTTATTTCTTAGAATTTATTTATTTATTTGTTTGTTTTAATCCAAGTTCAAAGGTGCAAAAGTTGTGGTCTTCACACTGCACCTCTCAGGTGATGAACTCCTTTCTCCACAACATTCAATGTGAGAAGAGTTACGCAGCCCAAATTGCTAGTGTAGATGCTTTCATCCTCGTGAGTTGTAGATAAGATGCATTTGTATAGAGAGAAAGAGTTGCTTCAACCTACGCATCCCAGTTGCAAGTACAAGTACTGTTACAGCAATGTAATTGACTTAGATTTGGATTTACTCACCACAAGAAATAATTGAGAATTGAATTAATATTGAAATTTATTAACAATTGTAGAAGAGTGATCAAAACCATTCTGAAATTCTAAGTCTTGTTTCTTCAAATTTTGGTATGCTTCCAGCTCCTTTGGCCCAAAGTCAAATGGTATAATCATCAAACTTTAGCGCTATTAGGTACCCACATCAAATAGCTCTAGCCCTACCACCTCTGCACTGACATTAGATTTATGCTCTTGGGTTCTCCAAAAAACAAAGGTTGAAAATCTGTTAATCTCACAACTAGATTTCTACGTGGTCACATTGATGAGTGATTTACACTCATTAAATTATGCCATTAATTTCATGATTTTGCTATCTTAGAGAGTATTTTAGAAGTCCTAACAAGTGATTTTGGTGTTGTTTTATAGATTGATGGAAGTGGAGAAAACAAGAGCTAAAAGAGGCCAAAGGAATGAAATAGGCAAAAGTTAACGAAATTGGATGAAATGGCCAAAATGTAAGAGATCCAAAGTTCGAGGATTAAAATGCAATTAATCAAAAGTTGTGTCGAAACTTGAAACAAAGATCCAAGAGTTCTAGAACCCAATTGGATGAATGAAGATGTCAAAGGGATCAAATTTAGTCAAGATATGATCATAAATCATTTTTCAACCGAAAAGTTTTGCACCGGGTTTTTAGCCTCATATTGAGACTCATTTTTTGACAAAGCAAATGATCGAATTGGAGAATAATATCTAAAGCAAAGTTGTAGCCCTTTGAATTACCTTTCCAGCGCATCTTGAATCGCATCAATCGGATATCGGGAGAAAGAATTATGATAAAAATACTAAAAGTTGTGCAATGCAACCAAAGTAGTTCTCAGTGCCCAGGCGCCATGATGGTGAAATTTTGACAGAAAGTCAGCGCCCAGGCATCGCCTTGTGAGAGTAATTTTTTGGGTTTTTATCATTCTTTCTTGGCCCAACTCATCTCCGAATCTTTCCCTAAACTCCAAGACATTATAAATACACAATTAAAGATCTAAATTAGGGGGGAGCCGCACAATAAAAAATCTGTGGGATCAAGCCACGCACGTGACATATTGGAGAGAAGACAACAAGAAGGGAGATGAAAATGAGAAATTCAAGAAGATTGACACCAAACAATTGAAGATTAGAAGCATTCATTGGAAGAGGAATGAGATCTTGGTGTAAGAATTCTACTTTTTCTTCTACATCTTTATTACAAACTCGGTGATGTATTCTAAGACAAATTCCTACTTTCTTCTTGTATTATGAGTAGCTAAATTCATTGTTAGGGAGAATAATGTAACCAATTAGGATCTTTTACATGCTCTTATTTAAGACTTTCGATTTTTAATTCTTCCATGTGTTGATTTTGCTATGAGTTGAATGCATTAAATTATCTGATCAATAATTTGATGGTTTTTGTGAATTTTTTACAAATAGAGATATGAGTTTAGGAGTAGACCGTGTAGTAAAATTCAGTACATTGGTATAACGAGTAAAGATACCTATACCATTTATTGTGATCATAGTTGAATTCCTAAGACATAGAACTTGTTTAACTAAGTTGAGTTTACATAGAGATATGAAATTTAATTAGTTGAATAGGCTCAATGAGAACTCGAGAGGGGTAAATTGAATACAATAGGAGAATTCGACCGAGCACTACATTATAATTGAGTTTTAATTTGAGATGTAAAGTTGATCAATTGGTGAAGTTATTCTACCCTAACATCCATTCATTATTTGATTCTCCAACCAATCGTGTGAATATTCATTTATTTTCTAGAATTTAGATTAAAACCCAGATTTTACAAACTTTAATTTGTTTTAGTCAAATAGTAGTTAATGAAAAATTGAATGAAGTGCTAGAAAATAGTCTTTGTGGGATCGACGATCCGGACTCTTAGGTCTACTATTACTTGTTACGGATCGTACACTTGCGAAACAAAATTTTATAACAAGTTTTTGGCGCCGTTGCCGAGAACTATTTCTTCTAGTCTCAATTAATTTTTATTTTGACTGTTATTTGATTTGTTTATTTTTCTTTTATTTATAGAAAATTGTGTTCGTTGTATGCTTCGTGCCCAAGGGCGACGACCTTGAACTGTTTGATTCAGAGATAGAACGTACCTTCAAACGAAAACGCAAAGAACACAAACAAAAAACAGCAACGTCAAATGACTGACAATCAACAAATCCATATCCCTATTCAGTCGATTGGACAAATGGCCGCAAGAGTAGCACCACCGGAACAGCAACATGAGCGAAAGGAAATAAATGAAGGTGATTTGCCAGTATCAATGTTCCTGACACCTATAGTAGCACCCATGCGCTCCAGTATCGTGTATCTAGATTTTGGGGTGATCAGATCAGGCCAGATTGGATTAACTTGATGAACAACACCCTGCAATTCTACGAGCTACCTCAAGAGAATCCAAATACGCATATCTCTAGATTTCTCAGAAATTGTCAGAACTTTCATGCTCTGGGGGTCAATGAAGATGCTATTAAACTACTACTATTCCCATTTATATTGAAAGACGCTGCATTGAAGTGGTTAGATGCTAAGCCTCATGCTAGCATTATTACATGGGAAGAACTAACTAGGAAGTTCTGTAATAAATTTTTCCCACCGGTTAGGGTAACTAAAATCAGATTGGAAGTTCAAACTTTTCAACAGAAAGAGGGAGAAAGCTATCATAAGGCATGTAATAGATTTAATGAGCTGATGAGAAAATGTCCAAACCATGGAATCACTTAAGGAAACCAAGTGCAGTACTGCTACACCGGACTTACACCACTGTCAAAATCTCAAGTTGATGCCTCTGCTGGTAGATCAATCATAGGGAAATCAGTGCAACAAACCATGGATCTATTTGAATTAATTGCCACCACACATTCAATGTTCTCATAAGAAAGAGTGGTACCACCAAAGACAGCAGGAATGTGTGAATTAGACAGCACAACATCTACCAACGCACAAATAAAAGCTTTAACAAAACGGGTAGAGTTACTTGTAAAATTGTAAACACATGGAGCAAATGCAATGATGGCCAGTTCAGCATGTGAGAATTGTGGAAGAAATCACGCTACAGAGAGCTGCATGATGCTCACTTCTTCAGAGGAACAAGTAAACTTTATTCAAAATAGCTCCCGTAATTTGAACTCATATGGCAACAATTTTCAGCAAGAAAGAAGACCAAATTTGAAGGAAATATTTCAACAATATGTGCAAAAGATGGACAATGTGTTCCAGCAAATTGACACGAACTTTCAAAATCAGCAGGCATCCATCAAGAAACTGGAGACACAAATTGGTCAGATAGCACAACAACTTACAGAACATCTACAAGGGACATTGCCAGTTAATACAATGATAAATCCTAAGAAACAATTGATGGCAATTAAAGTAGTGGAGAACGATCCACCCAGGGCCCCCGTAAAAGTTAAAGCATATGTACCTCCACTTCCATTTTCCCAAAGACTTCGAAAGAAGTCGATGGTGCAAAATATTCATGTCATAAATAAAAAGAGCGAGGTACAATCGCCAGAGATCACTACAGAGAGACCCAAAAGAAGAGATGGCCAAGAAGTGATTGATAAAGCTACAAGGGTAGAAAAATCTGCACCAAACGCAATTGAAAATGGAGAAAGTACAGAAACATCGCTGCCAAAGCACCAAGTCTAGACAAAGCTTACATGCCTCCCATTCCCTTTCCTCAAAAGCTCAAGAAAAACAAACAAGACACAAACTATGAAAAATTCATCGATGTTCTCAAGAAGCTCCAGATCAATGTTCCGTTCATTGATGCACACTATACGAAATATTTGAAAGAGATGTTGACAAAGAAAAGAAAGCTACCGGAGTTTGAAACTGTGGCATTAACTGAGGAAAGTAGTACAAGAGTCCACAGAAAATTGCCTCCTAAATTGAAGAATCCGGGGAGTTTTATTTTATCGATTTCAATTGGAAATTTCTATTCAATTAATGCATTGTATGACACTGGTGCTAATATCAATCTAATGTCATATTCTGCTTACAGGAAATTGGGACTAGGTAAAGTCAACTCAACATCAATAACGCTACAACTAGCTGATAGAACAATCGCAAGGCCACGTGGTAAAGTTAAGGATGTACTCGTAAAAGTAGAAAATTTAATACTTCCTGTGGATTTCATTGTATTAGACATACCAGAAGATCGAGATATTCCAATTATATTGGGTCGACCATTCTTAGCAATGGGACGAACCCTTATTGACATGTAGAAGGGAGAACTAATCTTGAGCGTGGAGGACAAGTAGGAGATATTCAATATTTACATCCAATATCAGAAACCTCTCAATAAAAATGATTGTTGTATAATTGATCAAGAAGAGCCACCTGATCAACGAAGCTGTCAGAACAAAAAAACAAATTTTGGAGAACTTTTTGGTAGAGATAAGAATAGACAAATCAAAATTTGAAGTGCAAAAAAGGCTGCATCAATGAAAATTGCACAAAATGCAATGATGGAATAACTTGGTTTGAGCCACCATGATAAATCAACGGCACAAGTCAAGGTAATGACTTAAAAGAAACGCTTCTTAGAAGGCAACCCAAACTTTTATTTTATTTTATTTATTTTGTTTTCAAAGTTCTAGGATAGTTTAATTTATAGTTTATTTAAGAATCATCACCCATACCCCTTTTACCCATAGTTCTTGGAGTAATTAAATTGGTTATTAGATGTTTGAGCTAAGTAATCCTTGTTCCATGAGTTTAATTTTTCAAATTTAATTTTTCAGGAACATGATATCGCGGAACACTCAAACTAACATGGACATGGAGAAAATGGGACAAATCTCAAGTTTGGAGGAGAATGTTGAAGAAGAGTCGATCAAACGCAACACCAAGACACCACAACATCATAGGCAATACTGACATTTCAGGGAAGTTCTCCTCCTTTTCCTTTAAATTTCACATTGAGGACAATGTTTCAGTTAAATTTGGGGGAGTGACATCATTTGCTTACATTGTTGAGTTTCTCGACAAAAAAAATTCATTTCGTGTTTTTGCATGCTTGTGTGTGTTAGATAACATTGCCAATATTGATATGTGTAATTGAGAACATGCGTTGATTTATGAATTGTGGACGAGTCATGTGTTTGAGTTAGATTTTTGCTTATTCATAGGAAACGAAAATTATTTTTGCACGTGAGTTGATTGTAGCATTGTGCATGAGTAGGTTGATTCACGTTTATAGGTTAAAATAGAGAACTTAGATACTAAACCCAATCAACCATTAAACATCACAATACCCTTAAACCAAACTTAGGACGTTTGGATGATTGCACTGTTGTAGGGAAATTTGGAAATAAATGTGGATTTCGTGTGTGTTAATTTTTTGGTGGATTGTCTGAGACCAATAGGATGAAAATTAGGTAAAAACCTTAAGTTAGAGGTCAATTTTCGAGGATATGTGTTTAATAAGGGGCATTGCACTAATCACCGAATAAAAAAATAAAAAATAATAAAAAGATTCCAATGAGGACAACTTTAATAATCTCATTGTGAATCTTCTCTTCTTAGCCTTTATGATTCGAGTGAGTAAGCCTGTAAGGATTTAAAATCTGGTGCCCTAAAGTCATCTGATTTAGGAGTCATCGACCTAAAACTCGCTACAGGGGTCATTTAGAAAGTTTAAGGGAGAGACATCCGCACAAAAAGTGATTAAAGAATAAAGATACATGTGAAAAAAATAAAAAAGAGAAAAAAAAGATATCAAATGCCTTGATTAAGCCCCGAACACTTGTTTTAGAGGATTAGACCTTTGATAAGGGGTTAGTAACTTGGTTGATTCTTAGAGGTTGAAGCAGTCAAAAATAAGAAGAATCCTCATTTATTGACATGTGGAACTACAATCAGTAAAATCTAACCAAACTTGAGTGATGTAAGAAATTAGTATTGAAAATTTAACCTTAGGTTACACCCTTGGAAATAGAAGAAAATAAGTTTGGGGGTGTTTGAATTCCACGAGCAAAGTAAGGAGAAATTTGACTTCTAAGGTCGGGAATTGGGTCAACTTATTATTGTACAGCATTGCACTTGACTCTCCACACACAGACACACACACACACCCGTTTTGCATTGAATAGGTTAGAGTTTAGCTTTTGCATTATAGCTTTGATGTGATTCATGGAATCAAAGTTATGTTTTTAATCCTGAGACATGAAGGCAAGCTATCTAGCAAAATTTATTTTAAGTGATTTTATTTGTCTCAGTTGTGCTTATGTGTCCATTAATTATTTTTATTTGTAGTGTTTGCTCGAGGACAAGTAAAAGATTAAGTTTGGGGGTGTTTGATGAGTGATTTACACTCATTCTATTATACTATTAATTTCATGATTTTGCTATCTTAGAGAGTATTTTAGAATTCCTAACAAGTGATTTTGGTGTTGTTTTGTAGATTGATGGAAGTGGAGAAAACAAGAGCTAAAAGAGGCCAAAGGAAGGAAATAGACAAAAGTTAGCGAAATTGGATGAAATGACCAAAATGTAAGAGATCCAAAGTTCGAGGATTAAAATGCAATTAATCAAAAGTTGTGTCGAAACTTGAAATGAAGATCCGAGAGTTCTAGAACCCAATTGGATGAAGGAAGGTGTCAAAGGGATCAAATTTAGTCAAGATATGATCATAAATCATTTTCCAACTGAAAAGTTTTGCATCGGGTTTTTAGCCTCATATTGAGACTCATTTTTTGACAAAGCAAACGATCGAATTGGAGAATAATATCTGAAGCAAAGTTGTAGCCCTTTGAGTTACCTTTCCAACGCATCTTGAATCGCATGAATCGAATATTGGGAGTAAGAATTATGATAAAAATACTGAAAACTGTGCAGTGCAACCGAAGTAGTCCTCAGCGCCCAGGTGCCATGATGCTAAAATTTTGACAGAAAGTCAGCACCTAGGCGCCGCCTTGCGGGAGTAATTTTTCAGGTTTTTACCATTCTTTCTCGACCCAACTCATCTCCAAATCTTTCCCTAAACTCCAAGACATTATAAATACACAATTGAAGACCTAAATTAGAGGGGAGCCGCACACTAAAAAATATGTGGGATCAAGCCACGCACGGGACATATTGGAAAGAAAACAACAAGAAAGGAGATGAAAAAGGGAAATTCAAGAAGATTAACACCAAGCAATTGAAGATTAGAAACATTCATTGGAAAAGGAAGGAGATCTTGGTGCAATAATTCTACTTTTTCTTCTACATCTTTATTACAAACTCGGTGATGTATTCTAAGACAAATTCCTACTTTTCTTCTTGTATTATGAGTAGCTAAATTCATTGTTAGGGGGAATAATGTAATCAATTGGGATCTTTTACATTCTCTTATTACGACTTTCAGTTTTTAATTCTTCCATGTGTTGATTTTGCTATGAGTTGAATGCATTAAATTATCTGATCAATAATTTGATGGTTTTTGTGAATTTTTTACTAATAGAGATATGAGTTTAGGATTTAGACCATGTAGTAAAATTCAGTACATTGGTATAACGAGTAGAGATACCTATACTATTTATTGTGGTCATAATTGAATTCGTAAGACATAGAACTCGTTTAACTAAGTTGAGTTTGCATAGAGATATGAAATTTAATTAGTTGAATAGGCTCAATGAGAACTCGATAGGGGTAAATTGGATACAATAGGAGAATTCGACCTAGCACTACATTAGAATTAAGTTTTAATTTGAGATGTAAAGGTGATCAATTGATGAAGTTATTCTGCCCTAACATCCATTCATTAATTGATTCTCCAACCAATCATGTGAACATTCATTTATTTTATAGAATTTAGATTAAAATCTAGATTTTACAACCTTTAATTTGTTTTAGTCAAATACTAGTTAAAGAAAATTAAGTGCTAGAAAATAGTCTTTGTGGGATCGACAATTCGGACTCTTAGGTCCACTATTACTTGTTATGGGTCGTACATTTGCGAAACAAAATTTTACAACACACATCCACATCAGAGGATTTCTCTGAGAATGCCAACAGTTTACAAAATCATTAGCCTGAATCTTGGTGTCAGAATCTGAAACAGCAAGTGCTGTAGAATCAACTAGAACAATTAATTGAAAATGAAACAAATCCATAGAGAATATGATATTAAAGGAAAAACTGTGAAGGAAGAAGATGCTAAATTTAATTGTAATCAAGAATCAAATAATTATAAATTGATAGTTCGAATTCATATATACGGAAGCCATCATAAATATGAATAATTGCAGTTAGATCTTCCACTCCTTACTCATCACAAAGTATTAGTCATCAATGAGGCAAGCTAATAAAAAAATATGGAGAGGAAAGGGGAAATAGCCTTTACATAAGAAATTCTTGGGTCATCCCATTACGACTGAAACTCTAATTAGGATTTACATATATTTCGGTTCACATATTTAAAATTACCAAATCATATTAAATATAACTCATAAAGTGTAAAAGACTCAATTGATTACTTAATAAATTTTGGCCCAATCACAAATATCATTATGAACCATACATCTAACAAATAAAATTTACAATCGCATGTGAAGTCCACATTTGGAATTATTCCAACGGAAAAATCAGTAGAACTGTAGAAGAAATAGAAGAAACTAGAAAAGAGACGAATTTTGTCACAAGCCACCAAAAATTTATTCATTCATCACTTGTTTTAAATATTTACTGACAATTTTTACAGACGTTGGAAGAAGTTTGCCCAACCATTCAACTTATGGTTGGGAGATTGACTGCGGCCTCTTGTGATATGTTCCTCAACATAATCGAGTTTTTTTCTTATCCTAGGAGAGTTGATGAGAACATCCATTTTATTTATTTCCTAGTTGGACTTTTATTTATGTTTTGGGCTCTTATTTATATAATTGGGCTTGTATAAGGCATTTGGCCCAAGGTTATATATATATATATATATATATATATATATATATATATATATATATATATATATATATATATATATATATATATATATATATATATATATATATATATATATATATATATATATATATATATATATATATATATATATATATATATATATATATATAACCTTGGGCCAAATGCCTTATACAAGCCCAATTATATAAATAAGAGCCCAAAACATAAATAAAAGTCCAACTAGGAAATAAATAAAATGGATGTTCTCATCAACTCTCCCAGGATAAAGAAAAAACTCGATTATGTTGAGGATATCACAAGAGGCCACAGTCAATCTCCCAACCATAAGTTGAATGGTTGGGCAAACTTCTTCCGACGTCTGTAAAAATGTGTCAATAAAGGTTTAAATCTGGTGTCCTCGCCAACTCCTCTTGAGTGGATGGGAGACGATCTGGACTAAAGAAGATCCTACTGACTCCAATAGAGCTCCAATAAATCTAGGTCAAGTTTCTCTTTGGAGATCCATGTACAATCAAAAGATGATGGGAAGAATTGGACCTACAAGAGCATTAGAAGGTTGAACTTTATCAGACCATTTATTACTGCGGCGTGATGGCTTTTAGAGAGGAAAGGGCAGCACTTGAAGTCTATCGGGAATATCTGGGAACTCTAAAGGTTCCTTATGCTTCTCAAGATCCATAAGGAATTCTGAGTATGTGTAGAAAGCCAATTGCAAGAGATATTTGGGTAAGCTGGCCCAAGTACTTCTCAAAGCAATCTCATCTATGCTGGTTGGCAAGCACTGGCGGATTCAGCACCCAGCGAGCCTCGGCGACAGCGCGTGCTAGATTCGCCTGGAGCCCCTTTTTTGGGCCAAGAATAGACAAATATTTAGGATATATTACTAGTACTTCATTTTCATTTCAACCACTCCTTCTAGCCAAGTTGGCTAGCGTTTGCATTTGTTTCTTAGGCGTCCCAAGTTCAAAACTTTTGTCCACCAATATACCTTATAACATTTTTAGTTATAAGATTTTTACCATAAAACATTGAAATAAGGTAAGGAGTGGGGAATCAAACCTGTGAGCTTTTCGAAAACACATTAACGGCTTAACCATTATGACACTTGCTAAGTTTTGATACTAAATTTTAAAAAAAATAATATATGTTAGATTTTAGCGGTTCAATTGTAAAATTTCTAACACCGTGCTTTTCCTTTGAATTATACAAAGCAATAATGTAATTTGGTGAGGGCGATTTATTCTTATAACGAAATTATATGTTCAACTTCAACCAAATAATTATTTTATTTAAAGTTTGATTCTCATTTAGTTCATAATACATTTTTCATTCCCTTCTTTTCGATCAAACATTATTTAATAAAATAATATTGCACGCAAATTCAAATTTTTTCCTTATTTTTTAACTACACATTCTTTATCAAATCACTATTCCACAATCGATAGTCAACGATCGTCCGTGCTGACTCAATATTCTGGATTCGCCCCTATTGGCAAGCTAATATCTTCTGTAACACTAGAAAACTTCCAAGGATGGCCTTATTCTAGGAAGCCCAAAGGTTTTCAGCTTATGACAGATTTCTTGATGGAAATTGGATTTTGATGTGAAATTATATTTTTTCGAGGCATCTTCAATACTCTCTTTCACGTTTTCTCTTCGTTCAACAATGTATTTAGTTAGATTATCTTCCAAATAAGCATTGAGGCAGTCAAACTTCAGGTGCCGAGGTTTCTTTCCTAATTTATATTCTACATCACCTCGTATCATCCAAAAGATTATCTTCCCGATGAATGCATGTCCTCTTATGAACTATTTCAGATTTTTTTTTTAGTTTCCCATTCTGCATGGTAATGATGTGCTTCTAGCTTCCTGATGACATTGTTGGAATGTAAAATCGAAATTATCTAGGAATTAAAAAAAAATATTTAATTCAATAAATAAGATCATCTAAATTTTCACGCGTATGTTTTATCAAGAATAAATTATTCGAATTTTTACTTAATTCGATGGTCAATTCTAAAATTAATTTTGAATCACAAACTTCCAATTTTTTAGATCACGAATTTTCAGTTTTTTAATTTCAAAAACTTGATGCTTCAAACCTGAGTGGCACCTTCTTTAAATTAAATTGAGAAACTAATTCTTGAACTGGAAGATTGTTTTGAAGACTATGGAATTATGTATTATGATTGCTGTACAATTCCATAGGATGTCTAATTTCCATCTAATCTCGATTTATAGAGATAAAATAGTTACATCCTTGTACAATAATAATTTAACATTCAAATAAGAGTTCTAATTAAAATTCAAGTAGAAGTTTTAATTAAAGTCCAAATCCCTATAGTATAATAGTTATGTATTGTTCTCGCGTTATATCATAACCAAACAAATCAACCCAATTTACTATTTCAAATCGATCCGAACCAGCTACAATCGGTTCGGTTCGATTGGTTTTATCGATTTTTCAATTTATTATTATTATTATTATTATTATTATTATTATTATTATTATTATTATTATTATTATTATTATCATCATCATCATTATTATTATTATTATTATTATTATTATTATCTAGGCCTCTAGAAAATTAAAGAAGTGGAAATTACATAAAACTATGAAATTTATCTATGCAAACATTACATATTATATATAGTTAATTCAACCAATTCAATTAAAAACCCTAATCAATTCCCTAATTCAATCCCGTCACTTCCTTTCTCACTATACAATCTCTTCATTCTCCCTATAACAAATCGCCACAGGAGATCAGTCACCGACGACGTCGGATTCGATGTGAGATCGACGTCGCTGCACAGACGAGTGGCGGTGGCTACAAGGGATGTGACGGTGACCTCTGCCCAGGAACGCCGCTGCTGCACGAAGATGGGCCGGGAGAAGACGCCGCAGGAGATACATCTTGCTCGAATTTTTTGAGCCACAGCTCAGAGCAGCGCCTGCGATTGCGCTCGCCGCGATACCTTCGGGTACTGATTGGGTTAAAAATGTGTTGTTTTGTGATGGAAGCTCTGTGAATGGCGTCACTTCGCGATAGGTTCAGATATGGTTTGGTGGCGGCCATGTTGTGGTGTGGTGTTGGTGTGATTTTTCGGCATGTTTTATTGCATTTTTTAAGTGGTGGTGGTGGGCTTGTGGATTCTTTGGTGGGGGTGGTGGTTGGGTATGGTGTAAATAGAGGTAGAGGAAATGGTGATGGTGGTGGCGTGCCGTGGGTGGTGCGATGGTGGTGTGTTGTGGGCGTGATGGTGTGATGTTGTTATTGGCACAATGGTGCTCATGATGGTGGTGGCAGGGGGTAGTGATGCTCAAGTTGGTGAGGTGGTGATGATTTTGGAGGCCGTGGTGTCAAACCATTGTTGTGTTGTTGATGATGGTGTTGGTGGTGATTGTTGCGGTGGCAGTGATGGGTGGGGGGCATTTGTGACCGACAATTAGGCATCTACGACCAACTATTTACGCGTCCGTGACCAAATATTAGATGTTTGTGACTAAAAAATAATTTGTGATCGATAAACTATGATATATGTGACACATAGATATAATGTGACTTGTTATTCGAATGATTCGAGACGTCTAAATAATATGTGATTTACAAAATTTTTAATTTGTGATCACGAAATAATTTTGTGACCAATTAATATGACAATACGTGACCAATAAATAAATCTGTGACCTATAATTATGAATATCATTAATCGTGTAACTGTGATTTTATTATCTTCATTTAATAAATATTTTTAATTAATTAAATATAAACCTAATTTTTAAATTTTAAAAGCATCTATTTGATTTTTGAATTGGGGTAAACTTAATACCTGAGATGTGAAATCTTCCCATTAAATAATTGGAGGAGTTTGATTGATTTGGGCAGTTGGACTGGACTTTGATGAAAAAACTCAAGCCCAGTGAGGGAAAAGCTCAACTCCAAAGAACAAGGGAAAAAATCACATTTCAGGTATTATGTTTACCCCAATTCAAAAATCAAGTAAATAGTTTGAAAATTCAAAAATCAGGTATGTATTTAATTAATAAAAATATTTATTAAATAGAGATAATAAAGTCACGGTTACATAATTAATGGTCACAGATTCATAATTATAAGTCACAGATTTATTTATTGGTCACATATCATCAAATAATTGGTCACAAATTTTTTCGTGATTATAAATTAAAAATTTTGTAAGTCACAGATCATTCAAATTACATGTCACATTTTATTTATGGGTCACATAAGTCACAATTTATTGGTCACAAATTATTTTTTAGTCACAGACACCTAATATTTAGTCACAAATTAACCAAATAGTTGGTCACAGACGCCCCCACCCGTCACCATCATCACTACCGCAACCACCCCTGCAACCATCACCATCACCATCACCATCAACAACAACACAACAGTTGGCACCACCGTCTCCAAAACCACCATTACCTTACCAACATGAGCCTCACCACTTCCTGCAACCACCATCATGAGCAACACGGCGCTGTAACGCGACCACCATTTCCTTTATCTCCATTTACCCCATACCTAACCATCACCCACAAATGTATGAAATCGCCAACCTAAATGTATGAATCGCCGGTGATATCCCACCGTGAAATCATCGACCCAAATGGTGGTGACTGGCCGTCGGAGAGAGAAGATAGAATTCGCAACCCCGTCGAAGAAGGCACGGCACCATTCTAGACGGCGGCGACTCACGAGAAAGAACTGACGGCACTAGAGAGAGAGAATAGAAGGCGCGAGAGAAGAAGACAGAAGGCGCAGCAGCACGTTGTCGTCGGTGCCACTCATTATCGTCGTTGCCGAAGCTTGGGTTGTCGGCGTCCAAGAGAGAGAAGAGAGAACGAGAGCTGTTATACATTTAGAAAGGAAAGGGAAAGGAAAATTAGGGCTCGGCCATTTGGGTGGGTGTTCTATTTAATTATATAGTACCTGAATTTTGATT